TAGAGACGACTTTGGGTCTGGAGCATGTAGGGGATAGCACTTGTTGAGAGGGACATCGGGTGGTTGCGCTCATATCACTGGCTGGCGTTGAGACTTCACTTCGGAAAGACGGTCGGGGAGTGGCCAGTAAAAGAGGAATCTGTTAGAGCCGAGCAAGACTACATATTCAGAGCTCTGCTGACCTTTTAGAGGTAACTAAAGAGAAGAAAGATGGAGATTTTAGAAACCTAATATGTATGCTAAATTTTTCGCATTGGATGAAATTTCAGCATACTAGTATATGAATCTACTTGATAACTAACTATAGCATCCTAGACGAACTTGACAGCATAGTGCTATAGGTATCTGGCGATGACCTAACCCCGGAGGTCTATCTGTCTTTAAACACATCTGTAACATAGTGGAGGAATCTATTGGCGGGGTAGCTCCCGACCTCTCTATAGTCCTAGGTCGGACAATATGCCCCTCTAGGGCTGTTGTTACCTTCCTGAATTGTGCCTTAAGCAGGTTGTCTTTCAAAGAAAGTCCGGGGTGGTGGTCCGGTCTCGTTGATCTTCTTATCTCCTCTCAATTCTTCCTATGGTCCTATACATAACCTAGATAACCTACCCAGGTAGTATACATATCCAACTAACACCTCAGCCCGGTTACGAGTGGCGTAACTGTCCACAAATGGCGGAAGTGCGGGGAATGGATCGATGTGCCAAGTTTCTAAGAAAATAGACGGATAGACGGGTTGGTAGATACTATATAACCTGAGCAATTGACGGCTTCGAGGTACGAAGTTGCTGAGAACTCCGTCTCAATTGTGCACGATTCCAGCTTCGTTGAAGATGTTATCGACCGGCTTTCAAGCTATCTCACTTCTCCTTATTTCTTTGTCGATTCCATCCAGTCGAGCTCAGTTCCCCCCTACACCAGAAGGTGTCACCGTTCTGAAATCAAGATTTGGAAATGGTGTCACTATCAGCTACAAAGAAGTAAGAAATAATATAAAACTATAGTGAATTATACAATACCTAATCTTTTCTAAGCCGGGTATCTGTGAGACAACACCGGGTGTTAAATCTTATGCTGGCTACGTCCATCTCCCGCCTAAGTCACTTGAGGACCTAGGGGAAGAGCAGGACTACCCTATCAACACCTTCTTCTGGTTCTTTGAAGCCCGGAATGACCCCGAAAACGCGCCATTGTCTATTTGGCTCAATGGCGGTCCTGGAAGTAGCTCGTTGTACGGGCTATTCACCGAGAATGGCCCCTGCTATGTCAATTCTGACTCCAACTCAACTACGTTAAGTCCATGGGCATGGAACACAGACGGTAAGCCGACCAAAAAAAGCTCTTGTGGTGTATTGGCTATTGTAAATGTGAATACCTTTTACCTTGCTAACCTAAGAGCAAGTCAATATGTTGTTTCTTGACCAGCCGACCCAAGTAGGCTTCTCATATGACACATTACAAAATATTACCATGGATCTTATATCTGGTGAAGTTGTTAAGCTCAACGAGTCTGGTTCTATCCCTGAGCAAAACACAACCCTACTAGTCGGCACATACCCAAGTCAAAATAGGAGCCAAACAGCAAAAGGCACCCGCAATGCTGCCATCGCCTTGTGGCACTTTGCGCAAACTTGGTTTCAGGAGTTTCCCGGATACCATCCTAACGATTCCAGGATCAGTCTAGCTACGGAATCGTACGGCGGTAGGTATGGGCCAGAGTTCACAGCCTTCTTCGAAGAGCAAAACCAGAAGATCAAGAATGGGACTTGGAACGGCACCGCAGACGGAGAGAATTATATCCTCAACCTTGACACTCTTATCCTCATCAACTCCTGCATCGACCGTCAAGTCCAATGGCCCGCTTACCCGCACATTGCCTATAACAACACGTACGGCTTAGAAACCGTCAACGAAACTATCTATCTGCAGATGGTAGATGCCCTCGATAGGCCTGGCGGGTGTCGTGATCAGATTAATGATTGCCGCGCTCTTGCGCTCGTGTACGATCCCGACAATATTGGTATCAACGATACCGTAAACGAAGTATGTTCAGATGCGGAGACATTCTGCTCTAATAACGTGAGAGGTCCATATCTGGAGTATTCGGGTCGCAATTATTACGATTACGCATCCCTCGATCCTAACCCCTTCCCAGCCCCATTCTTTGGACTCTACCTCAATCAACCTCACGTCCAGAAAGCGATCGGCGTGCCCATCAACTACACCCAGTCCTCGAGCGCTGTGGCGTCTGCTTTTAGGGCTATAGGAGACTATCCCCGGCCGGGGTGGATCGAAGACCTCACGTTTCTGCTGGAAAATGGAATCAAGGTCCACCTCATGTACGGCGACCGAGATTACGCGTGCAACTGGATTGGTGGCGAGGCTGTGAGCTTGGCCGTCAACTATACCGGCACCGAAAAATTTCACGCCGCGGGATACACAGATATCGTAGTGAACGATACGTACGTTGGGGGGCAGGTCCGTCAGTACGGCAACTTTTCATTCTCGCGCGTGTACGAGGCCGGGCACGAAGTCCCCGCGTACCAACCAGAGACGGCGTATAAGATGTTCCACCGCGCCCTGTTTAACAAGGACATCGCAACCGGTACCGTCGACCTCGTCGATAATTCCGAATACGTGACGGAGGGGCCGGTCGACACGTGGGCTATCAAGAATGAGGACCCGCCGGACTTGTTGCATTTCTGTTACGTGTACGATACTTCCACTTGTACCGATGAGCAGATTGAGAGCGTGCTCAATGGCACGGCTACTATAATCAGTGGTATTGTTAAGGATAAGAACTCTACTCTTCTGTTTCCAGAGATATTTGGCCACGACGACACGACCAGCGGTTCTCAAAACAATCCTTCGCCCACTACACCCGCGCCCACAACGGCTGATAGCGAGAGCGCCTCGGCCACAGGGGGTGTTGCTGCAACTCGAATAGGCTGGGTTGACATACAGATTCTAGGAACGTGGGTCTTAGTATTGATCATGGTACACCTCTAATTACCTTACAGGTATGACTATGACAGATAGCATATAGCTCATATTTCTATTAAGCTAGGCCTTGTATGTCGGATGTGCCATTCTTTCTTAAGCAAATTAAGAGAAAAAAAAGATGAAGGTTAACTTATCTAGGTGTCTTAGATATTGTATGCCAAGTAGCTTTCTTGATGGTCTGTATCGTATTCCGTTATTTCCCCTGTGATTTTGTTCCTGTGTAATCTTATTTCTTGGTATGCCAATACTAGGTATGGAAGGAAATCAGCCCTTTTTCCTATCAGTAGTGTGCTCAGAAATACATCACGAGCGAGTGATAGATAGCATTTTTATAGGCACGGCCGCTGCATAAAAGAGTGATCTCTGTTGTCGGACCGACTTTGGTTCAAATTCGATGTCTTCGACCGTAAAGTGGCGAGAAGCTAGGAGAGGTTAGAATTTTTAAAGATTCATAGAAATTGAAGTGCATACCGCACTCATTTTTGAACGTTTGAAACGTTTCGGCGTTCCGGACGACACCCGATATGAGAACCCTAAGCTCCTGTCTCATATCGAAGAGCCTATGAAGTGTCGATACAAGAGCCGATATGGCTACCTTATCATACGTCTACAGAATTATATAAATTAGGGGTTATCTTCACTCTTCTGGAGTTATGAAATTGTGTGAGCTTACGATATCAGCGCCAATAACGATATCGTACGGATGAGCAAGACAGTCGTCTTCTATCCAAGTCCTCTTAAGATCAACACCCCAGGCTAAGGTACCCGTCCTAGTATTATGCTGGGTGTGCAGCCCGTTCAGGGAAATGTTCTCGTTCAATGCTTCAATGACTTTCCCATCACCATCGGTGGCGGTAACGTAGTTTGCTTGTAAGTGCTTGGCTAGGAGAATGGTAAGGAAGCCAGTGCCAACGCCTAGCTCTAGCACGTTCTTGTTCCGGACGAGATTTGAGCCGGTAGCAGTCATCAGGTAAGAGCCTAGGTGAAGAGATGCCTCCCAAGTCTTAAATCCCGTAGTCCGGGAACCTGATATCAAGTGCCGCCGTTCGAGGAGAGTCACGGTACGCTCCGGTACATCATCATACCCATGAGCGAGGCTCGGATGCTCTGGCACACAGGCAAACGTTACATACACATTTTCTTGGGTAGTCTGAAAGTCGGTCGGCGCTTCTCTTGCAGTGAGTGATGCAAGATGCGTCTCTAGACCGTACGAGATCTCAAAGGACGGGTTAGGTCAATATTCAACGAAAGGGGAAATTAAGAGAAAAAGGGCGAAGTGGCTCACATCACCCGCAGCTTTCTTGATCTTAGAAAGAAGCAACTTTAGTACAATTATCTGGTAACTCTCAGGGGGTAAGTAGGGGTTTAAGCGAGGGTCAAATAAACGTTTGAACAACCACTTCTGCACGTCTGCGCTTTTGAGAAGATTAGGTGATGGCCAAGCTAGAAAATCTGGTTCGAATAATTGCATGTATTGCCGGCGTAGAATGAATAGTCGAGGGTCTACGTCATGATCCGACATCTCTACTCTTGAGACTCTTCTTTTATTGGTGGCATTTGATCATCACTTGGTCACAGTCACAGTGAGTGTAGGATGTAGGAACGCAGGTTATTTTAATTAAGCAACTCAAGCAATTAAACCGTACCCTTCGCTCTCATTCGCCCTTATAGCTTAACCTTCTTAAGTGCATAAGACTCAATATACTTTCCTTTATAATTACATATAATTGTCTAGATACATACCAGTATCCTGTGTGAGGGATGAACTTCTAATGTTGTTGAGATAATATAAATCTTAGCTTAGGCTCGGTACTTCATTACCTAGGTTTCTAACCAAGTAGGTATATATGGATGTTTCTGGTACCTTACCTATTAGGTATAGGTCTCATGAAATAAATCCTTATGTAAGGAATTAAGAGGGTAAAAATTCTGTCACAGCTTCTCAGCTCCACCGCAAACAGAGGCGTTAGCGCCTAGGATTATGGAGCGACTCGAATTCTCGATTCGTCTAGTGGTTAGGATACCTGCTTGTCAATTCTCTTCAAGACCTATAAATTCTTTGATAGAGTTGAATTCGCAGGTGGCCGGGGTTCAATTCCCCGATCGAGAGAATCATTTCCTTTTTGTTACTGCCTCTTTTTTTATTTCCCCTTGTGCCCCTTTTCTCTAAAAAATAATGTTTTTTTTTAAAAAAAACATTAATAAAAAAATAAAATGAAAAAAAACACAGTCCCCTTCGACATCTACATGTCCAGGTGTAAATAAGGTAGGGTTACGGTAGGGCTTATAATCATTTCTTACTTGTCTACTTAAGTATATAAAAGTAACTCGTTCGAGTCACAATATATTAGCAACCCTTGTTCGTTTTGTAAAATCGGCGACGGAGAGGTTCACGACATTGGAACTGACATTGTTAGTTGGTACAAATGTTATAGGTGTTCCATCCGGACGTGGGTATGAAATATTTGAAGTGACATGTCACATCCAATAGCCAATTCGTACCTAGTAGTTCCCCAATGCGTTGCATTCCACTCCAAAAAGTCCGCTCTTCTTCAGCCTGTATGTAGTGTCACCGCTCATGCCACCGGCAATGACTACCATCGACGGCCATCTACAAAATCTCTTCGGAGCTACCTACTCCGAACGCGCCGAGGGGGTCATATGTTTCTGAACACTGTTTGGGAAGCCACCTCGGGATGTCATTAAGCTCTACAGTTCAAGATCGATTGTATTGCTTCGCTCGTTGCTTCGTGTTGTAACTGCTACACCAATGAAAATCGCATCATAAAAGTGCCGGCTGCTTCGCAAACAGTTCGCGTTTGTCCTTGTAAGTCATGGCTCCGACAATTCGGCCGTCAGGTGTCACGGCTCTCATTATCACCATTTTTGCTGCGTCAGCACCAATTTTTTACCATCTCGTACTTCCATATCTCGCACCCTTATCCCCGCATCTCATATCCTATTCCTCATCGATCTCGGAGGCTTTCGGTCGAGATGTCGAGTACGCGTCGTCGTCGCCGTCCTTTAGCTGTCTTCAACATGCGTACACAACTGAAATTATATCGCTCGACCCGCTTCTCATCTATATCGACTCGTTTCTCGCGCCCGCCGAAGTAGATGCTCTGTTAGAAGCCGGAGAGCTTGAGTTCGCTCCGTCTCAAGTCTACAAGCGAGGTCGCAACCAGGGCACCTCCGATCGCACGTCTTCGTCGGCCGGCCTACCGCGCGACAACCCGGCCGTGCAATGCGTGCTGGAGCGAGCCGAGATCTTCCTCGGCACGATGCTCGATCCCTCCCGGGACGATATCGGCCCGCCGCAGCTTGTGCGTTATACGACCGGCCAGCGCTTCAATAGGCACCGCGACTGGTACGAGCGTCCGCAGCCTACGCGGAAAGGGATGCTGGGGCGCGGAAAGAGCTGGAACCGTGTTGCCAGCTTCTTCGCCATCCTGCAAGACAAATGCACGGGCGGCGAGACGTGGTTCCCACTCGTCAACACTACCGTCCCTCCGAGAGATGACCGGAAGGGGCGTCGGCTCTGGAAAACGCACGAGGACGGTGGTGTGGCGTTTAGGCCCGTAGCCGGTAACGCGCTTTTCGTATGTTATCTCATATTTTCCACTTCCTCTTTCCCCCGAGTTCCCTAAACCAGGATCCAATTGAGATTACTCAGAATATTATACAAAGAAGTGGCTGCTAACCCCTCGGCGTCATAGTGGGTTAATCTTTTCGCGAACGGCACGGGTGATGATCGGACTGTCCACGCTGGATTGCCGGTGGGAGCAGGTTTGAAGACAGCTATGAACATCTGGCCGCGTAAATTCTACGGCTAACGAACATATGGGTTTGTACAAATATGTCAGTTCGGCGTTCCTGATCTTAATCGTTTTGGACTTAAATAAAATGAGTTTGGTGTTGTCATGATACCAGTCAACTCCGAAAAAATCGCCAGGCGCATGATGCCTAAAAGGAAGGTTAAGTTGTGTCTCTTGTCATGGTGTTAAATGTACCTCGTTTCGGCTATGCACAACGGACCGGGTCTACGGACGGAGCATACGCATTTCTGGTTCGGCCGACATCACGCATGAACCTGCATAAACCTCGAGCCGCACTATCTAAGCTTGGACCATAATATGGACATCTGTGACGGTTGCTCGCGCCATCTTTTTGAGAAGCGTCCTTTCATCGGCCTCACGATACCTCTCCCATCCGTCAAGCCCTTCCTTAGCTTGAATACTCAATGTCTCGTAGCCCTGTTTTATCACTTCCGCTACCTCGGTGCTGGTCAGGTTTCGTTTGGAGCCGCCAGACTCCAGCATAGTCTTATAATGCGCGCTCACGCTGACAAGAGTGCCTATCGAGTTTGACGGCCGGCTTGATAGGGAATATGTGTCTCGAAACTTCGTTAAGACCTCGCCGCTTTCCACAACTTTATAAAACAGATCATCGTAGGCGGCCGGAGTGGGAAGAAATGCCTCGCCGGCGGAGAGGGAAAGAGCTAGGAGGTTCACGACAAGATCCAGGAGGGAATCAAAATGTGAGAGGCCCTTTAGATCGGCAGCATAGGTTGTGAGAAAGCGAATAAGGGACAGGAGCGAGCGGAATAGCTCAGACCAATGGTATTGCAACCGGGTCCGGGACCGCGATAGGTATGATATGACACGTAGCATGATACCAACACATAAGGTGTACAAACTGACATCTAACCTACGACGCAGGTTATGGTTGATACCGTCAATCATAGTATCTAACACGCTGGTTGCTAAGATACGTTCTCCTCGAACGGCCGGGAGGAAAGGCTGCCGCTGACGACAGAGTCTGACGGCGACCTTGCTCTCTTCGCTACATAACCGCTTGCATAGAAGCTGGTCTTCGATAAGCAGTCGAAAGACCATCAGGCTGAGGTGGGCATAATTAGTAGCTCGGGTAGAGAGGAAGGAATGTTGGAGGAGGTAAGAGGTCAATGATAAGAAACTGGAGATGGGCTGCTCGTCGCCTTTTTCGGCTGGTAGCGAGACGAGGTTAAAGCAGAAGAGCTTGTTGGCATGGCTAAAATCGTACGTTCCCAACAGTACGGCAGCATGCTCTCCCGGCCTAGCTACTAATTAGCAACATATAACATATTAAACATATTAGTGGATCGGGGGATGCGAGGATAACGTACAGTTTTGCGAACATCTGTTTAGCTTCTTCCGGATCGTACGTTGGCTTCTGATTCGATTTTGGACCGGGAGCGATGGCTCCAAGTCCGATCATGCTTAAAGTATTCGCAATTGTCCACCCTTCAGGTAGGTCCTGTATAATATCGACATACTGGCCTCTCAGACTTTGAGAGGTATGCCCCACACATCTGACAATCTTCTGTATGGTGGCCTCATTAACGAAGTCGTTCAACCGAAGTTGATAGGGATTTTGAAACTCGAATTTATTGTAGTTTGCTAGTAAGCCCAACAATGTGAACGGTTCTAGCGCCCTATGCGGCGAGTCCGATTCTTGGATGAACTAGGTCAGGTCAGTCCCAGATATCAGATATGCTAGTCGGAATATCAAGGAGCAAGGAGGCAGACCTTCATAATAGCGGGGAAGAGATCTCGTTGTATAAAGTATGTCAGGAGGCTTGTCTGGTACGCGCCTGAGGTAATGGATAAGACGACCTCAACGGCTTTCTGTCGAACCTCCACTACATTCCAATTGTCAGCCGCTTTACCAAGCTTACAACCATATGCGAGTCGGTATTTTCATATTCCAACCTACTCGATTTGCCATTGCGGATGATCCCATCCAGAGCGCCTACGAAATCGGTGAAGACGGCATCGACCTGATCCAACCCCGCTAACACAGCTATTATATCCGAGCTTGGATTCGTATATTTCTTGGGAAGGGCAAGGGAGAAGAAAGTTGTTAGGGTCTTTATAAAAAAACAATAAAACAATATAGTTAGAAACAGATTCCTTATATAATACTTTCTAGAGCTAGGCTTCGGTTGTTTACCTCGAGGGCGTGTAAGTCAGTCACACCATTGCTTTTCTTCAAGCATTCTACGGCACGGAAAAAGAGTTGTTGAGTTTGTAACTGTAAACTTATCAAGTCGTCGGGTCCTAGCCGGGCTAGTATTCTCTGTAAGGAGAGTCGATCGGGTTTTAGAAGGAAGAGTTCGGCCCAAAAGCCGTCAGGCTTATCGGCATCCGGATCCACGTCGTCCTACTCGGGCGAGAATTGCCGGTCAGCAACCGCAAGACAGCACGGCACACAATAACCGTTGGTGTAACTCTGAGATGGCTCTGTGATGGCTCTGGGGTGACTCGGGAATCACTTCTACACTAGTAAGGGCCGACGTACCTTAAGATCCCATTTGTCAGCTGTTTGACCAATCCTTAGATGATGGGGGTAACCGATTGCTCCCGAACCTTGAATAGCGCCTCGTATAGTTGAACCACCTTTGGCTGAAAGGATTCAGGTCGAGCCTGTTGGGTCAAGGGGGAGGCAGAGGGATCCATATCGAGGACAAGGAGGACGAAGATGAGGACGGTGAGATAGGAAAAGACGAAGGCCCACAAAGGTAGTCTATATAAGTACGTATTATATTTCTGATATACGTAGTCAAAGAACCATCTTCTTGCCGTCCTCCGTCTTCGTGAAGCGTAGATATGTGTATGCACTAGGTGTACGTGTGAATATGTATAAATGATAAGATAGTGGAATCTGACACGCGAGGCGCATCACGACAAATGCGACCTGTCTGCCTGTGTACATGGGTACATAATCCCGCATTTACTACATACCTAGGTATTAGATAGATATCGTTGTATACCGTGGCTTACATGTCGCCTAGATACATAATAAGCTTACATACTCAGTATTGCATGTGATTACGCGGATTATCTAACATTCTCTCGGAACTGGATATATTCCGTCGAAGCCATTCACCCGACAGCTTGGTTGACCAATGAAAACTCTTTGATTGGTTCGGTCAGAACCGGACCTGCCCCAATCGACCGATGTCATCAGATGACGATTTCAGTTACCGTTAATACCGTTTGTTGCTAGTAATTTCTAATTTTGCCATCAATCGCAACTGCAATTAACAATCAACCTTAGAACACTACAACA